TACACCTAACCCTTCCCCTATGCATAACCCTATCCCTAATCCTAACCATACCCATACCCTATCCCTACCTCTAATCCTTATCCTACCACTACTGCTAGCCATAACTGTTAACCTATTCCTAACCCTAACTGTAACCCTAACCAGTCCCCTTCCTGTACCACTACTCAAACCTTATCCCTATTCCTCACCCTAATCCTATACCTACCCCAAACCCTAACCCCACTCCTACTCCTAATCTTATACCTAGACCTACACCTACACCTACCCATAACACTACACCTACACTTAACCCTACTCCTAACACCTACCTACCCCTAACATAACCCTACCGTTAACCCTACACCAACCCCTAACTCAATCTCTACACCTACACCTACACCAACACCTAATCCTAACCTACCCCTAATCCTACTAACCCCTATCCCTACTAACCCCATAACCCTACTCCTACAACTACATCAATGCCTAACCGTAACACTATCCCTAACCCTATCCCTACCCCTAAAAAGCTACCCCCTACCCAATCCTTTCCCCTAACCCTACACCAACCCCTAATCCTAACCCTTCTATTACCTTTCCCTCGAACCCTAACCCTATCCCTTCTACTAACCCTAAACTAACTATTCCCCTTCCCTTAACCATACCCCTAACTGTACCCCTATCCCTAAGCCTAACCCTAATGTTTGTACTAACCCTACCCCTACCCTGACCCCTACCCTAGCCCTACCTCTACCACTAATCATACTCCTACCCAACCCCTACCCTGAACACTAGCCTTAACCCTACTGCTAACCATACTCCTACCCCTAGGTCTGTCCCTAACCCTAAACCTTGCCATAGACTTAACCCTATGCCTAATCCTACCCCTATCTCTAGTCTTAACCTAACCCTTACCTAACCCTACTCTTACCCCTATCCCTACCCCAAACCATAACCCTAACCCAACCCCAAACCATAACCCTACTCCTGCTAACCCTACCCATACTCCCAACCCTACCCCTATCCCTGCCTCTTCCACTGCCCTAGCTGAACCCCTATCCCTACCCCTTCACCTAACACTACCCCAGTCCTACACTTACCACAACCGTAACCCTAACACTAACCCTAATCCTATCTCTATCCCTACCCCTACCCCTACTCCTAAACCTACTACTACTACTACCCCAACCTTAACCCTACCTCTACCCCAAATTCTAACCCTTACCCTAACTCTAACCGTACCCTACACTTACCACTAAACCTAACACTAACCCTACCCATATCCCTTAAACTACTACCCCTAAGGAGCTCTGGTAGTGCAGTGGTTATGAATTGGGTTGCGAACCACAATGTTGGCAGTTCAAAACTACCAGCTGTTCTGCGGGAGAAAAATGAAGCTTTCTGCTCCTGTAAAGATTTACAGCCTCAGAAGCCTTGTACAAGGTCACTGTGAGTCAAAGCCGACTCCACGGCACATAACAACAACAACCACCCCCACCTCTAACCCTACCCTACCCCTACTCCTATACCTACAACTAGCCCTACCCCTAATTCTATCCCTAGCTGTATCACTAACCCTAACAATACCCCAATCCTAAACCTACATCTATCCTTAACCCTGTTAAACCTGCTACTAAACCTAACTTTACCCCTACACCTTCCGCTATCCCTATGCTTACCCCTATCCCTGCCCCTACCACTACTTCTATCCCTACACCTAATCCTAACCTTACACCTACCCCTACCCCTATCCCTACTCCAAACTCTAACCCTACCCCTACATCTGTCCCTACCCCTACTCCTTACCACTACTCCTACACCTATCACTATTGTTAACACTACACTTAATCCCACACCATAACATACCTATTCCTAATCCTACCCCTAACCCTTCCCCTGCCGCTAACTGTCCCTGACTCTCACCCTAACCCTATCTCTTCCCCTACCCCTAACCCTTCCAATACTCCTAACCATATCGCAATCTCTAACTCTACCCCTACTTCTAATCCTAACCTAACCCTAATTTTAACCCTAACCCTACCCCAATCCATAACCCTACCCGTAACCTTAACTTTTCTCCTACTTGTAGCCCTACACATACACCCAACCCTACCTATGCCACCGCCCCTGCCCCTATCCCTAGGCCACCCTCTATCTGTGCCCTTCACCTAATGCTATGCCTACCCCTACCCCAACCCATAACCATACTCCTACCCATAACCCTAACACTAACCCTAAACCTACCTCAACCCAACCCAGAACCCTACCCCTAATCTTAACCCTACTCCTACCCCTAATCCTACCCATACCCCAAACCTACCCATGGACTGCTCCTACCCTTAGCCCTAGCCCAACCCAAGCCCTACCCCTTCACCTAATGCTACCCCTAGCCCTATCACTACCCCAACTGGTAACCCTAACCCTAACACTAAACTTATGACTACCCCTAACCCTACCTCTACACCTAAACTAACCCTTACCCTAATGCTAACCCTACCCAGATCCCTTAAACTATCCCTACCTGTACCCCTATATCTGGAGCCCTGGTGGGGTGCTGTGGATTAATGCGCCAGACTGAAAAGCCATTTGAACTGCAACGTCGGCAGTTCAAGCTCACCAATCGCTCCTTGGAAACCCTGTTTAGGGTCGCTATGGGTCAGATCCAACTCGACGGCACTTAACAACAACAACCCCTATATCTACCACTAAAACTAACCCTAACTTAACCCAAACCCAACCCCTAACTCTAACCCTAACCTTAACGTTCACCCTACCGCTACCCATGCACCTACACCTAAATGTAACCGTAACCCAGCACTATCCATAAACCTAATGCTATCTCTAATCCTACCCCTACCTTTACCCTACACTTACACCCAACCCTACTCCTACCTACACCTACCCTTACCCCATCCCTATCCCTAACTACCCCTAACCCAACCACTAACCCTAACCCCACACACCTCACTTTACTCCTAACCCCAACTCTAACCCTTATCCTAACCTAACTCTAACCATAACCCTAACCCTTCCCCTACCTCTACCATTCTCCCTCTCACCCTAACACTGTCTCTTCTCCTACTCCTAACACTTAACCCTATTCCTACTCTACCCCTAGTCTATGTATACCTCTAATACTAACCCTAGCCTTACCCCAAACCCTTACCCTACACTATCCATAACGTTTCCACTAAATCTAACCCAAATCCAACCCCTACCTGGACCCCTAACCCTATGTCTAAACATACTCCTGCCCCAACCCCTTGTCCGAATGTTAACCCTAACCATACTGCTAAGCCTACACTTGTCCATACTCCTAACCCTAACTCTAACCCTAAATCTTACCCTTACCCTAACCCTAATCCTAAACCTACCCCTACTTCTAACCCTAACCTAATCCTAAAACTAACCCTAACCCTAACCTTACCGCTAACCCAACCACTAACTCTAACCGTAACCTTATCACTAACCCTGTACATCTACACCTACTCCTACCCCTGAACGTAACCACAACCCTAAATCAAACCCTACCCCTACCCCTACCCCTACCCTTACCCCTACACATATCCCTACACATAAATTTAACCCTAACCCTAACTCTACTCCTACCCCTACCCTGACCCCTAACCTTATCCCTACCATTATCCCTAACCCAACCCTTACCCCCAACCCTAACCCTACAACTAAATGTACTCCGATGCCTCCCACTAACCCAACCCTAATTCAATCCCTAACCATTACCCTAACCCCTCCCCTACCTCTAGCCCTAAATGGAACCCTAACCCTACCCATACTCATACCACTAACCCTACCACTAAACCTAACCCTAACCCAACTCCTAACACTATCCCTAACCTTAACACTCACCTCTACTCCTACCCATAAATGTAACCATAATCCAAACTCTACCCATACTCCTAACCTAACCCTACCCCTACACTTATCCCTACACCTACACCTAACCTCAGCTCTCCCCCTACCCTGACCCCTAAACCTGTACCTAGCCCTACCCCTACACTGACCCTAACCTTACACCTTCACCTACCTTTAACCCTAACTATTACCCTGGCCCGAAACCTACCCCTACCCCTAACTGTACCACTAAACCTAACCCTAACTCTAGCTCTAACCCAACTATTAACTCTAATACTAACCTTAACTTTCACCCTCTACTTCTACCCCTAATGTTAACCCTAAATGTAATTGTAACCCTAAATCTAGCCCTTCCCCTAATCCTAAACTTACTCCACCTGTTCTTATACCTAACCTAACCCTACCCCAACCCCTAACACTACCTCCACCCCTACCAGTACCCCTACTCATATGCCTACTACTAATCCTAACCCTACATCTACAACTACCTTTAATCCTATTGCTTACCCTTGGCCTAAAGCTAACCCTACCCCCCACTAAACCTTACATTACCACTATGCTTAATCCTATTTCTAACCCTACCACTACTCCTATCCCTACCCCTAATCCTAAACCTACCCCTACCCCTAGCTGTACCCCAAACCGAAACTGTACCTGTACCCCGCCCTGACTGTAACCCTACCCCTACAACTACCCCTACCCCTAGCTGTACCCCAAACCGAAACTGTACCTGTACCCCGCCCTGACTGTAACCCTACCCCTACAACTACCCCTACCCCTAAACCTAACCCTACCTCTAACCCTAACCATACTCTAACCCTAACTCTACTCCTAACCCTAAACCTACGATTATCACTATCCCTAAGTCTATGTCTACCCCTAATTCTAATCCGTACCGTAACCCTAACCCTACCCTACCCTTATGGCTAACCCTAACCCTAACACTAACCACAAACCAACCCCTACACCTATCCATGCTCCAACCACTAACCCTAACCCTACCCAACACCTACACCTAACTCTAATCATAACCTACACCTAATCCTAACCCTACCCCTACACTTACGTCTACCCCTACTCATACCCATACCCATAAACCTAGCCCTATGCCTACACCTTAACCTACCCCACTCCTACACATTTCCCCTACATCTACCTGTACCCCTACCCTTACCCCTACCCCTACCACTAACACTACCCCTAACTCTACACCTAACTCGAACCCAACCCCTACAGCTAACTCTAAACCTAACCCTAACACTACACCTAACCTGAACCCTAACCCTAACTCTTAATCCAAACCCAGACCTAAACCCAACACCTACCACTAACCCTTACCCAAAGCCTATCCCTACCCTTAACCCTACTACTACCCTATATCTAAACATTTCCCTACCCCTACCCCAACACTAACCCGACATCTACCACTACCCCATCCTTACCCCTAACCCTTCCCCTACCCCTACCCCTAACTCTATCACTATCCTTAAACCTAACCCTACCCCTAACTCTACCCCTAGTCCTTACTATAACCATAACCCTATCCCTAATTATAGCGCTATCTCTACACTTAAGACTACCCCTAAGCTTAACACTACTCCTACCTCTATACCCACCCCTAACCCAAACACTAACCTAACACTACCCATATCTGTAAGCCTACCCTTATGCCTATCCCTATCCCTAACCCTAACCCTACCCCTATCCCCAATCTGAATCCTAACTCTATCCCTACCAATTTACCTAGCCCTACCCCTAAGGAAAGGAGCTCTGGTAGTGTAGTGGTTATGAATTGGGCTGCTAACCTCAGTCATCAGTTCGAGACTACCAGCAGTTCCGCAGGAGAAAGATGAGGCTTTCTGCTCCCATAAAGATTTGCAGCCTCGGAAATCCCGTGCAGGGTCACTGTGAGTCGGAACCAACTCCACTGTACTTAACAACAACCCCTAAGGAGATCTGGTACCATAGTGGTTACAAATCAGGCTGTGAACCTTAAGGTCAGTAATTTGAACCTACCAGCTGTTCCACCAGAGAAAGAGGAGGCTTTCTCCTCCCTTAAAGATTTACAGCCTTGGAAATCCTATGCAGATTCGCTATAATTCGGAACTGACTCCACGACACATAACAACAACCCCTAAGGATATCATGTTTGGCCCAGGATTGGGCAGTGTTTCGTTCTGCTGTGCATAAGGTCGCTATGAGTTGGTACCAACTCGATGGCACCTAACAACAACAACTCCTAATCCTAACAATTACCCTAATCCTTACCCTACATCTACCACTAACCTTATCCCTACCCCTAACTCTAATCCTACTGCTACTCTACTCAGAACCTTATCTCTAATCCTAACCCAACCTCTACCCATACATGTACAACTAATCTTAACAATACTCCTATCCCTACCCCTACCCCAACCACTAACCCTTACCCCTATATCTTACTCTACCCCTATCTCTACCCTTACCCTTAATCCTATCCCTAATTCTAACTCTACCACTATCCCTAACCCTACCCCAATAAATAAACTAAAACCTATCCCTAATATTATGCATACCCCACCCCACCTCTAAACCTAATCTTGACCTTACACCTAACCCTACCCCTAACCCTAACACTACCCTTACTCCTACCCCTACCACTGCTCCTAACTCTTCCCCTAGACCTATGCCTACCCTTCCACTAAACCTATTCCTACCTCTACCCATAAATCTACACCTACCCCTTCCACTAACCTTATTCCTAACCCTACCCTTAACCCCACACCTAACCCTAACTGTATCCCAAATCCTACCCTTACCCATTTCCCTACCTCTAACCCTAATTCTTATGCCACACTTACACATAACTGTAACCCTACCAGTACCCCTAACCCACCCCAACCCCTACCCTAACACTAATCCTGACCCTAGCCCAACCCCTTGCCAGTACCCTAATCTTACATTAACCTACCTCTACCCAAAATCCTTCACCTTATCCTATCCTTAACCCCATATATACCCCTACCCCTGCCCCTAACTCAACCCCTACACCAATCCAGACTTCTAACCCTAACCCTAACACTACCCCTACCAATACCCCAACTCCTAACCCTAACCCTATTCCTACCCCTACCCTTAACCCTACCCCAACCCCTAACCCTTAACCTATGCCTACACGTCTTTACCCCTAACCCTAAACATTTCCCTTCCCCTAATTCTACCCATACTCCTAATTCTACCTCTAAACCTACCCCTATCCTTTGACCTTAACCGTAAATCTAATCATAACCCTTACTCTTCCCATACCTATAGCACTACTCCGATCCCAAACCCCAACCCTAACCTACCCCTACCACTGCTCCTAACCCTATGCCTGCCCCGAACACTAACCCTAACACAACTGCTAATCCTATGGCTACCCCAAACCTTTACTCCTAACCTAACCCTATCCCTCCCACTTACACTAACCATACACCAATACTTACCCATACCCCTAAGCTTGGCTCTACTAATAAGCCTAACCCTACCCACATCCCCAACCATACCCTTAACCCTGCCCCTATAAAGCCCCTAAACCTAGCCCTACTCCAACCTCAACTTATACCACTTCACCTAATGCTACCTCTAGCCCTACCTCTACCATTACCCATAACAATACCCAAAACCTTACCCTATCCATTACCCTACCTCTACCCCTACCCCTAATCCAAACCCTATCCCTGCACCTACCCCTATCCCTAATACTTATACTAACCCTTACCACACACCTAACCCTACCCCAATTCCTAACTCTAACCCCTACCACTAATTCTTACCTAACCCTACTCCTACCTCTATTGCTACATCATAACCCTAACATTATGCTTACCTTAATCCTACTCCTACCTCTATTCCTACTCTTACCCTAATGCTTATCTTATCCCTTCCCCTAACACTAACTCTAACTATAACGCTATCCCTAACCCTAACACTACCCCTACACCTATGACTACCCCTTTCCACTAATCCAAACCCTAACCCTAACCCTAATCCTACCCTTACCCCTAACATAATGCTAACCCTAACCCTACTCCTAAGCCTAGCCCTAACTGTAACTCTCCCCCTACCAGTACTGTACCTCTACCCCTAACTATGGAGCTCTGCTGTGGTGTTGTGGGTTAATGTGTCAGACTGCAAAGCTGTTTGAATTGCAAGGTCAGCAGTTCAAGCTAACCAGCTGCTCCTAGGAAACCCCATTCAGGGTTGCTATGGTTTAGAACCTATTCAGCAGCACTTAATAACCACCCCTAACTATTCCCCTCACCCTAACCCTAACCCTAACCATCCCCTTTCCACTAATCCTAACCCTAACATTCTAGCTGCTTCTACAAACTATCCTAATACTACCCCTAGTCCTAATCCTAACTCTACCCCAACAACTTCCTCTAATCCTAACACAACCCCTTCCCCTATCCCTAAACCCTAACCCTCTTCCTAACATGAAACCGACCCCTACTCTTACCACTAATCCTAACACTAAACTTACCCCAACAATAACCCTAACTCATCCCTATCTCTAACCCTAACCGTAAGACTTCCCCAACCCCTCCACCAAACTCCAATCCTAATCCTACCTCTACCCAATGTCCTATCTCTACCTGTAACCCTACCCCTACCCTACCCCTAAATGTTCCCCTACCCCAGCCCTATCCCTAACCCTAGCCCTAAGCCTTCCCCTACCCCTACCCCTAAACCTAACTGTACCCCTAACCTTATCCCTACCCCTACCGTATCCCTAATCATTCCTCTACCCCAAATCCTTCCACTAATCCTAACTTTAACCCTATCTATAGCCATGCCCTTAACCCTAAATCAACCCCTGTACCAATCAAGAATTCTAAACCTAACCCTAAAGCTACCCCTACCCATAACCCGACCCTTAAATCTAACCCTATTCCTACCCTTACCCTTAACCCTACCCCAACCCCTAACCCTTATGCTACACCTGTACTTAACTTTAACCCTAACACTAACCCTACTCATAACCCTAACCATACCCCTTCCCCTAATTTTATCCCTACTCCTAACCATAACTCTAAATTTAACCCTAACCCTATCCCTACCTTTTTACCATAACCCTAAACCTAATCATAACCCTTACCCTCCCATACCACTACCCCAATCCCAAACCCCACCCCTAACCTAGCCCTACCCCTAGAACTACCCCTAATTATACCCACACCCCTAGCCTGAACATTAACCCTAACCCTACTGCTAACCCTATGGCTATCCGAACCCTTACCCCTAACCTAACCCTAAACTTAAGCCCACCCCAACCCCTTATTGTACCATACCCTTACCCCTAAACTTGGCCCTACTCATAACCCTAACCCTACAAGTACCCGCAGCCATACCTTTAACCCTAGCCCTGAAAAAAGCCCAAACCCTAGCCCTACCCCAAACTCAACCCCTACCACTTCACCGAACACTACCTTTGTCCCTACCTCTACCATTATTCATAACTGTACCCATAACCCTTACTCTACCTCTACCCCTAACCCAAACCCTATCCCTAAACCTATCCCTACCCCTACCCCTACACCTAATACTTCCACTGACCCTTACCCCATACCTAACCGTATTCCTACCCCAACCCAAACCCTACCCCTAACACTATCGCTTCCACTAATTCTTACCTAACTCTACTCCTACCTCTATTGTTGCACCATAACCCTAACATTACTCTTAACCCTAATCCTACTCCTATGCCTACTATTTATTACCCCTTACCCTATCCCTTCCTCTAATGCTGACCCTAACACTAACCCTAACACTAACACTAATGCTACCCCTACACCTATGACTACCCCTTCTACTCACCCAAACTCAAACCCTAACCATAACCCTAATCCTACTCCTACCCCTAAACTAATGCTAACCCTACTCCTAAACCCAACCCTAACTGTAACTCTCCCCCTACCAATACTGCACCCCTACCCCAACTATGGAGTTCTGGTGTGGTGCTGTGGGTTAATGCGTCAAAGACAAAGCCTTTTTTTTGAACTGCAAGGTCGGCAGTTCAAGCTCACCAGCTGCTTCTAGGAAACCCTATACAGGGTCGCTATGGGTCGGAACCGACTCGACAGCACTTAACAACAACAGCCCCTAACTATAACTGTCACCCTCACCCTAACCCTACCCTTAACCCTAATTCTAACTGTAACCAAAACCCTAACTCTAATCCATTGCATACACCTAAACCTAACACTTACCCAAACCCTATCCCTACCCATCCCCCAACCCCTAATCCCAACCCTACCACTTTCTCTGCTTCTACAAAATGCCCTAATGCTACCCGTACTCCTAACCCTAACTCAACCCCAACCACTTCCTCTAACCCTAACCCAATTCCTTCCCCTATGACTAACCCTAACCTTACTCCTAACTTTAAACCGACCCCTACCCCTACCACTAATCCCAACACTAAAGTTACTCCTACTCATAACCCTAACTCTATCCCTGTCTTTAAATCAAACCATAGTCCTTCCACAGCTCCTACACACAAACTTCAATCCTAACCCTACCCCCAGTCCTATCCCTATCTGTTACCCTACCTCTACCCTATCCCTAAACGTTCCCCTACCCCAACCGTATCCCTAGCCTTCCCCTACCCCATCCCTAACCCTAAACCTAACTCTACTCCTCCCCCTTGCATTAACCCTACCCATACCACTAAAACTAACCCTACTACTACATCTATCCCTACACCACAACCACTAACCCTAAACCTACTCCTAAACCACACCCTACACATACACCTACCTATACCCCTCACCCTACTCCTACACCTGACCTTAAACCTTACCCTATGCCTACACCTACCCCTAACCTTAATTTTAACCCTACAACTACCCCTACCCTAACATTAACCCAACATTACCCCTACCTCTAAGCCTAACCCCCATGCCTCCCCTTCAACCTAAACCTAACCCTACCCCTACTCCAAACCATACCCATACACACAACCCTAACTGTATGTCTACCCATTTATCTACCCCTAACCCTCACATTTACCCTAACCCTTGCCCTACACATTACCTTACCTTATGCCTACCCCCAACCCTACACCTAATCATACCCCTAATCAAATGCCTATACCCAACCCTAACCATATCCCTAACAATACCCTAACCCTACCACTACCCCTAATACTAACCATAACCATAACCCTACCCCTAACTCTAATGCTACCTCTATGCCTATGGCTACCCCTACCCCTACCCCTACACGTATCCCTAACCATAACCATAAGCCAAAGCTACCACTATCCCTAAACCTACTCTTCCCCCTTCCCCTAACCCTAACCCTACCCCAACCCTAAAACTACCCCTACACCTCCCCCTATTCCTAACCCTAACCTCCCTCTAACACTGACACTAACCCATCCCAACCAGCAACCCTGACCCTACGCCTACCCCTACACTTACTTCTAATAATAACCCTCACCCTACCTGTAACACTTAACGTGACCCCTACATCTATGGCTACCCCTACATCTAACCCTAACCCTACCCCTCCACCTTCCCCTAACACTAACTTTAAACCTACCCCTAACTCTAACACTTACCCTAACCCTCATCCTACTCTTAACCCTAAATCTACTCCTACCCCTACAAATATCCCTACCCTTCACCATACCCCTCACCCTATCCTTATCCCTACCCCTAACTCTAGCACTAAGCCTATCCTGTATCCTAAACCTAAGTCTAACCATAATCCTAACCCTTCCCCAACCCCTACCCTTAAAACTTTCCCTACCCTTAACTCTTATCACAAACCCTACCCCTAATCCTAACTCTGATCCTAACCCTATCACTACCCCATCCCTACGCCTAACCCTATCACTACCCCATCCCTATGCCTAACTGTAACCCTACCACTACACATATCCCTACCCTTACTCCTAACCCTAAACCTACCACTACCCCTAACTCTAACCCTAACCCTATCCTTATGCTTAATCATAACCTCACACCTACACTTACCCCTACCTCAACCCTAATCACCTTACCCATAATACAATCCCTAACCCTACATATACCCCTAATTCTAAACTTAACCTTAGCCCTACACCTTATCCATAACCTTAGCCCTAACCTCACCCGTACCCCTAGTAGTATCCCTACCCCTAACCACAACCCTACCTCTTATCCCTAATCCTAACCCTATCCCTATGCCTAACCCTAACTCTAACACTTAGCCTACTCTTACACCTATGCTGACACCTACCTCTAACCCTAACACTCACCCTACCCCTATGCCTACTAACACTACCCTTATGCACTAACACTACCCTCAACCCTTCCTCTACCAATACCGCTACACCTACACTTACCCCTAATCTACTCCTACTCCTACCACAACACCTACTCCTAATCCTCTCCTTACCTCTAACCCTTACCCAACCCCTAATCCTAAACCGAACCCTACTTTAACCTCTAACCCTACACTTAACCCTACCCTATTCCTAAAACTTCCCCTATACCTCTCACCTTACCCCTAAATCTGTCTACCCCTAACTATAACCCTACCCCTATAACTACTCCCTACCCCTAATCCTGATCGTAATGCAACCCCTACTCCTTACCCTAATCCTAAACCTAACTCTAACTCTAAAGCTATCCCTACACCTGCCTGAAACCCTAACTCTATCCCTACACCTACGTCTATCCTCATCCTAATGTTTCCCATACCCCTAGCCCTTACCTTACACCAACCCCTACCCCAATCCATAACCCTAATCCAAATCCTACCCTTACCACTACTCCTACCCCTAATCAAGCCCTACATATAACCCTAACCCAAACTCAACACTGAAACCTACCCCTACTCTTTCCTCTACCACTAATCCTAACCCTAACCCTAAAAC